AGTATTTGAACGAAAGCTTCAGAAATTGATGCTGAATTTCCAAATGAGGATCCAAAGTGGAGGAGATATGTGGGAGAGTATTAGGTTCGGATGTTTGACGCGAGCGTGATGCTACATTTGACAGCTGGCTGGGGATTATGCCAGACATTCGTGGATACACGCAGATCTTGTGAAAGCTAGTAAGAGTAAGAACCAGTTCCCAGGAATTTCACTCCGACTGATAACGGTAAAATTTTTAAATCACAAAGCCCCTTCAAAACTTTAAAAACAGATCAGTGGTAAGTCCAGGATCTGTTGAGTCTTGAATCCACAGATAACAATGAAAAGCAGTGATATAGATGACTTGCAATGCAGTCTTATTTCAAGACAAAAGAACTTGTGGTTTAAAAAAACTAAATATTTACACTTATAAGCTGGCCCGGACATTCAGGATTATGAATTTGAAGGCAAATTCTCAGTATGCTCACATCAGTCATTCTGCTGCTACGTTTCGACTCCCTGCTTCGTAAGGATCCCTGTGCATTACTCATAGTCCAGTGGACTACTTTCTGTGTTTACTTTCATATGCATCAAGAGTACCTGTATTGCCTTAAACAATGCTGACACTCTTTCAAGAAAGCAGTTTAAAGGCCAAGATAATACACAGGGTGACCATTTACTACCATCTGTCTCTGATGCTGTGTGACTCTGTTTACTATAAACAGTATACCGGCCATGCATACTGGCCACTGCTGTATTTGAGTGTCCAGGGTGTAAATTTGTCTGCTATGCTGTACTTTACACAACAGAGAGGTAAAAGTAGCTTAAATGCAATGCAGGCTCTACTATGCTATGCTCACAATCCCACAATTCAGTTTTAGAGTTTATAATAATGTAGAGATTAGCTTCCTGGTTTAATCCAAAATATTTTGCAAGGCTTTACATCAGATGAGAGAATGCGGTTTAAGCTGTGGTTTCCGTGTCTGTGGATGGCTGGAAACCTAAACTCAAAATGTACTACACAATAGGCACATAAGCACACGTTCCACGTATGTGAACTGGAAAGCAAGATGACAACCTCTTGACAGTGCGCCCGCTTGAAAAGAGTAGAAACGAGGGAGTGGAAAACTAACAATGAAATGCAGTCGGAACACAAAACAAGCATTCAATTTACTCGTGCTTCAGTGCAGTTGATGTTGACAGTGCATGGCACTGCAAGTGGAAAACGCCTTTTGTGTGAGCCACAGAATTCTGTGAAATAACCACACCGATGAAGCGAGTAATAGTTTGTGTCACGTGTCTGAAAAGGTGCTATACCTTAGCTTCTCATGCCTGGAGCACCTTGCCCATAGTTAAAAAGCACCTTGGGAATGGTAACAAAATTGGATAAATGGCAAATATCAAAGATCCCCTGACACATGCTCCTATGACCTCAAAATAGCAATTTACTCTAAAATATTTGGATCAGTTCTTTGCTAAGTGGACAAGATAAACAGACTTTTATAGCAGTTAGAAGTTGGATCTGTTAAAGGACTGATTGTTTTGTGTGAAGAGGGTAAAGTTGGGTTAGTGGAGATCTGTTTTCAGCTACCACATAATATTCTGCTGACGTTAAACTGACTTTGCTGAAGCAAAAAACAGTTTCCTCTAAAATGCACTAACGAAAGGTGGTGTTAAGAGTTATTTGCTCTCTGAATTTGTGAAGGCGCAGTGGTGCATCACTGGAAAGTAGAACTAGCGGTGCACCCCACCGTTCTGCAGTTTGAGATGTGTGCTTGTGTGTGTCTGTGTGTGCAGCTGATTGTTAAATCAATTAAGGAACAGTTTAGAAATAGACAAGCCGTCGAGTAGCAGAATGAAACCCATTCAGCTATACCACAAATGACTCTCTTACAGGAATTGGCTAATCTTCCAGTACTGAGCAGAAGTAGGTTTCTCTGTCAGTTGCCTCTCTTTACATTCAGTGTGGTCTCATCCATCAATAAGCACATCCCACCTTTACTTGTGTAAAAGGCACTCTATTTTATCCTTTGCGCACCACCTTTTGGCATCTGAATCAATATCCAATTTTTCCTCGCTCATTTGCCCCCTGCCTCTCAGAATGCTCTAAATGCTGAAGTCCTTAAACTGGTCCTTTTTCATCCTACAGTTGACAACTGATCTAGTGTAACTAGGCTTCTTGCCTCATCTAACTTCTCCAAAGAGACCATGCTTTTCCTTTTTAGATCTGGAGAAATCAACCGTTCAAGTGGAGCCAGCAGGTCAGGGTAGATGCTAAGCCTCTTATTCTAATCCTAGCATGGGCGTGTTATGGATAACATGAGCACGCGTGAGCTTACTCGAGCATGCTCATTTCATCAGAGTTCATTAATGACACGGCTGATTTGCTCTTTGTGCATTGTGAAGCTGTAAGAAATGGCAATTCATATTGCGTGGATTATACAGCGGAGTATAAACGATTACTATAGTGAATAAACTTACTTGGAGATAAAAGCCGAAGCTGTGCTATACTTGATCAACAATATGAGTTGTATGAGCTCTTGTAGTAATTTTCAGATGTATTAAAGCATTACGGGTGATAATATGACTACTAGACCAAAAGTATGTGTGCTCCTCCTGTCCTGGGCAGTGATAGTACACATTATAAAAACACTGTGAACATGCACTTGTATACACACAGAGAGCTCAATTCCCTCAGGATACTGTAGGTTCAAATAGAGTTCATATTACAGCAGTGCTTGGATAATAAATGGCCCCAGAAAATAGGAAGTTAGCAGCATCTCTGTGATCATCACTCATAGTGTTATGCCATGTTCAGTACACAGTAATATAACTAACAAACACTTTTTAGTTGGTGTGGCGCCACACTGTCTGTGTCAGTAAGTCTTTCACTATATGACTTTGAAGAGTAATCAGTGTATAAGAAATGAAGTCAGATTTGCTTAATCTTGTCAAAAACATACCACTAAATCAGATTTGAGCAGTAATTGATTTCACAACGCATCATGTCAAATTGTGGTATTGAGGAAGTCTGGCGTCACATCTGACAGATAGGAAACCAAATTAAAATGGTCTCAAAAGCATCACTGGTCTTACAGCTCCCTCAGATTTCACCTAACAAATGTAATTTAACCAATCTGTGACCAAATGTTAACCAATCAAGGAGATTATAGACTGTAAATTATAGATGGACATTGCCTCTGTAACATCAGCCATTTGTGTATACTGCATGCTGAAGCCTCATTGTTGGCGTTTTTGATCAATGCTTTGTTTATTTCTTGACCATTTTTAAGAAGGTGTAAGTTGGTTTGCATTGGAAGGATACAGGTAACTGCTAAGGAGCTCTAAGAGACTAAGAAAAATAGTAGAATATGAATCATTAAAACAAGGGCTCAAATCTTCTTAAATGGGCTGTACCTCAAAACAGGAAATATTATTTGATTATTTGATTAACTCCATTAAAACTGCTCCGAAAGGCACTGACTATCAGAGATTCAGCTGAGTGACTTGAATGGGTGAGGTGAGGCTTAGCAGAAAGATTTTTAGCAACAATTGCCCAAGTTGGCACAGCTGTTAATTAGAGCATCCACACCCCTAATTTTGAATCTTAAGAAAATCCAAACAGGTAGGTAGGTACAGAAGCTTGTTTTTACCACTGAAGATTTTATTTTTTTTATTTTTTGGGGGGTTCGTATGTAGAAATTTTGAGTTACTCAAAATTTTGAGATATTAGTCATTAGATATTTAGAGACCAAAGCAGCAGCTTAAGTGGATTAACTCTCATTTGGAGCCTCAAGTGGCTATAAGAACTGCAGTTTGGATTGTTTCGTTTATCTTTCTGTGGTATGGGGGGGTTGCTGGGTGTGATCTGGCAACCTTGTCATGTCTTAAAAACTGTAAACCAAATTGCAGTGAAAGGATTTTATTTTATTTTAAAAAATCATCTTTCTACTTCCTTTCAAGCATGTGGTTTATCAATAAGCAACAGAGCTCTGTGCAAAATTAGAAAGGTTACACAAACTCTATTTAGTTCAAATTTTATGGGTTCCTGAACAGTTGTGTGGCAGTTTGGTCAAAGTTGCTGCGTGACAGAAAAAAATAATAGTGATTATGTTATAGAAGTAATGCTCTTATGAGATGTAAACAGCATAGATCAGAACAATGAGTCCTAAGCCGATTACCAGTCACACTTTCTGCAACAGGCAGAAAGAGTTGGGAAGAAAACCTCCACTGTTTCAAATTTACTTTGGAGTTGCCTACAATGAGATCAGAACTCAGGGGTGTGTGTGGAATACTAATAAACTGACATTTTTTGAAGTTTGTTGATTTTTTTTTCTATTCTTTGATTTTGGACTTTTGAGATTTTCTCTTGTTATCTTTAATATAACTTTCTGAACATCAAAAGTTTATTGGCAAACCAGTTGTGAATTTCAAACAAAAAATATTTCACCACTTTGAGTAAGACACATTCAATCTGAAGCAAATATTTCATCATATAAACAATCCTGTTGCTTCACACTGAAACTGACATCAACGAGAGCGCCCTGCTTTCCAGATCCTAATGTGTCTTTCACCAGTTTGCATAGTGTTGTTTCTGGCTTTTTGTGCATTTTAACTTTAAGAAGTCCGCCAGTGTTGCAGTATAATTGTTCACGAGTGTGGTTTAAACCCCAGGCAAAAACATTCCAGGGACTGTTTTACATACTTTCTTTTTCTCTGTATTGTAGGAATGAAAAGATAATAAATTAAATAATATTTAAGCAAGTGCATATCTATAAATTATAATGAAACGTTATTACTTATTATAACACAGAAAAGGATCTTATTCATATAGACTAAAAAAAACACAAACAGGACTATGTTTTGCTCGAGGGCTGATTTTAAAAGGTCTGATATACGTTTAGATAGCTCTCTAGCAAGAAGTGCATCAGGTGTTCTTGAACACAGACAAAAACCTTTGGCTTTGACCTAAATGTTGATTTAGGTGTTTCCCTTTAACATTTTTTTCCCCTACTTTTCAGAAAAAGAACATCAATGTTTTGCTGAGTCTTGGCATGCTAGCTTCCTGGGGAGTACTCTTGCTGTCAGCTCGCCTCTACTGGATGGGCAATAAACCTCCAAACTTCTCCAATTCCGACAACCCTGCAGCCGACTCGCCTCATTTCCTCACTCGAATGCTAACGTTTCTCCACCTGCCTGCTGCCAACGCCTGGCTCCTCCTCTGCCCTGACAAGCTCAGTTTCGATTGGTCCATGGATGCCGTGCCCTTGGTCAGGTCCTTGGCCGACTGTAGGAACCTTCACACTGTTGCCTTTTATGTTGGAATGAGCATTCTGGTTTTGTTTGGCCTTCGTGGTCCCACCTCCAAAGTCAAGGAGACCAATGGGAAGGCCCATGTCACTAATGGGAAATCCATCACTAATGGTAATGGTTACCACGCTCCTGATGCAAACCATAACACAGAGCATGGCTCTCCAAAAACCGCCCTAAATGGCTCAGCTGGACTGCACCACTGCCCTCCACGGACACCCCTGCCCCCTACAGAAAGCCTAGT